ACACCTGGGCAGGGAGAGGAGGCCTGGCTTGGAGCAGGTGGTCTGGTAGCAGTAGGGAGGCGACAGAGGGTGGAGTTGAGGGGTTGTAAGTGGGTCTGGAGCATTTGCACAAAGCCAAGGCCTGGGACCCGAGGATGAGTCTGTGTTGGTGCAACCACCGGGTGTTTGGGGTCTGAGGCAGGACTTGGGGTCCCAGACAGTCATGGTGGACATGGCGGCCTGGACTCCCATGGCCACAGCCCCACCCCCTGGCCCCCTGAGACCTGGTCCCTACAGCCTGGGACTGGGCGTCCGGCCCTGCTTCCTTCCCCCAGCCCCGTCCCTCTCACTGACTGACACCATCCACTCCCGCACAGTTGGCGCGCGGGCACCAGGTGGCACTGTCGTCCATCAGTTACATCGGCTGCTCCCTGTCCGTGCTCTGCCTGACCGCCACGCTGGCCACCTTCGCCGTCCTCTCGTGAGTCCCCTGTTGACCCGGCCTCCTGTAGGTTCCCACCCCAGCGATGTGCACTTCTCACATTCCAGTGGGTACAGGCAGGGGTGGGGGCTGAGAAACCTGGCGGGCTGAGGAGTTGGGCACCTGGCTTTGGGGATTTGGTCCTCTCTTGCCATGTCCCTGCACCAGGTTCCCCCAACACACAAGGGGATTCTGCCCTGTGACCCTACAGGTGGGAAGTGACACCTGGAGCCCTTTTCTATCCCCTCAGGAGCCTTTAAGGAGCTAGTGCCCCTGGGAGTCAGCAGAGGAGAGAATGCTGGGAGGGTGGCATCATGTGAGGCACGCCACAGTCAACAGACACCCAGTGCCCAGAGCTGAAGGCCCCGGGTCCAGAGAGGGTGAGGGTGTCAGGCAGGTGGTCCGTTCTCCATGGGGAGAGGGAAGCCATAGTGCCCAGGTGTCTGCCTGGAATGGCAGGTGCAAAGGCCAGGAGGCTGCCATGGCCAGGGAGCCCATCATAACCGCTTTCTCAAAATGAGTGTGGGGCGGTCTCATGCACGTGTGTCCACAGCTCCGTCAGCACGATGCGGAACCAGCGCTACCACATCCACGCCAACCTGTCGTTCGCCGTGCTGGTGGGCCAGGTGCTACTGCTCCTCAGCTTTCAGTTTCCTACAGGCACGGTGAGGAGAACTCGCCCCCCCCCCCGGCCTTGTGACTGTTACACACACACACGTGTATGGATGCACACATGTACACTCATGAGCATCCACCGAGCATGTGTAAATTCACATGTGTGCAAGGCATGCACACCTGTGTACATGCATGTACATACTACAACATGTAGGCACACCGGTGCACACACCTTTGCACCTGTGTGTGTGCATGCTGACATGCATGTATATGTGTATGCTCTCACACACATATAGGCAGACGTGCTCACACTCGCACATGTATGCATGTGTATTGTGCATGTATACACACACTTATGTGCAGGCACGAAGCACCCACACATGTGCTCACACACACAATGTACACATGCATGCACGTGCTTGTCCATGCACTCACATGTATACCAGGGGGCTTCAAAAAGTTTGTGCAAAGAATTCAATGATTTTTGTTTATTCCATTTCCCCACAAACTTTTTAAAGCCCCCTGATGTGCAAGCGTGTGAGCATGCACCCCTCTCCCGCACGCACTCACCCACCCCCAGACCCATGATTTCTTTGTAACATAAGAAACCTTGCCAAACAGAAGTGGGGCCCAGAAGCAGCTCCGTGTAGATTAGCGGATTCTGGTCCCGGTACCTGAACCGAGCTCTGTGTCAGAAAGACAAGCGCAGTGGCCAGTTAGCCCAAGTTACGCGCCCACCCAAATCGCTTAGTCTGGGCTGGGAAGCAGCAAGGAACAGTGATTCCCCAGGAAGAACCGGGGCCATGTGACCGTTAGGTGGCCACAGGAAGCGGGTGGCGGCCTGGGGGCTCCCGTGCCTCACCTGCCTTTGCTTCCAGGCAGCGTGCCGCGTGCTGGCTGTGCTCCTGCACTTCTTCTTCCTGAGCGCCTTCGCCTGGATGCTGGTGGAGGGGCTGCACCTTTACAGCATGGTGGTCAGGGTCTTCGGCTCAGAGGACAGCAAGCACCTGTACTACTACAGCATTGGATGGGGTAGGTGGACACGCTGGACCGTGTGTACGAGGGCTTCCATTCATATATGCGTGGGTTCATGCCAAACAAAGCGTGTTTAAACATGTCTCTGCGATCGGAGAAAAGCTGCACACAAGTTCTCTCAGTAACCTGCTTATCTTAGTCTCCTTGGGGGGGCCTTCGAAACCAAAGTCCAGTCAGAACGGTGGCTTCCCAGGGCATCTGCTGGGTCACTTCCATTCAAGGCAGAGAGGTCAGCTTAGAGGGTTACGGTAACTGTTTGGGAGGCATTCCAAGGGGGCCACCTTGATTTTCTCCAAGGACGCAGGCTGAGCTCAGGGGCTTGTGAGAAAGAAGTGTGGAAGAAATGGAAATCTGCAGTGGTGAGATCAAGGCCGGGAAAATGACAGCGAGGTATTTTTTCCATCATGACTGTGCACCTGCTCATTCCTTGTGAGCAGTGAGGGCTGTCCTGCGAGAGTTTCTTTGGAAACCTCGTCACATTCATCTTACAGCCTGATCCTGCCCCTTCAAGCTTCCTTTTGTTCTCAACTCTCAAAGAAGATTTCAAAGAAATATGATTTGAGTCCCTCGAGGAAGCCCAAGTTGCTGTTTTGATGTGGTACCAGTCAAAGAGCCCAGAATTCTTCAGGGAAGGGTTAGAGACGGAGATACCGCCCTCAGAATGGCAGCGGCTAGATGAGGGAGATGCTGAGACACAACAGTGCAACATTATGGTAGTGTTGTTCACAAAGATTTCTGAGATTTGTATCAACCGGTTTTCACTTGCCCTCATGTAGTTTGTCTTTCTCTGAGCTTCTGAGGCTAGAATAGAAAGTAAAACCCTGCTGACCCGCCGGTGGCTGAGCCCTCTCCCGGTTGAGCTACACTTTCTCACTGCTCCCATCGCTGACTGCGTTTAATTGTGGTGATCTCAAAGAGCCAGCTTTTCACATTGATTTTTGATATTAGATTCCCTTTATACGTTTCATGCGCTTCTGCCCCTCATCACATTTCCTTTAGATTTTACATGTCTCCTTTTTCCTGTGTGTGTCGGTGAATGGTGAGGTTAACAACACAAGGTCATCCTGAACTACAGGCATGCCTTGTTCTAGTGCACTTAGATTGACTGCAGACATCATAGTCTTAACAAATGGAAGGTTGGTGGCAACTCTGCAGTTAGCAACTCTGTCAGTGCCAATTTTCCATCTGCGGTTCTCTCTTCCTGACTCTGTCCCACTTTGTTCATTCTCACAGGTTTTCAAATATTTTCATGCTACTTTTGCACACTTCATAGGTTACACCATTGTGTCAATGTAACTGGGGTTCTGTCAAATCTTTGTGACTCACTGTAGTGTGTTGTAAAAGTTGTTTTATCGTGGTGGTCTGGAACCAACTCACAGTGCCTCTGAGCTCTGTCTGCACAGCGCTTAAAGCTATGAATTTTCCCCTCAGCACTGCTGTAGCTGCATCTCATGGCGGGCGTTTTGTACTTTCCTTTTCATTTATCTCAAAATATTTTCTATTTGTGTCTTTAGATTTGTTCTATGACACCTGCTTATTTAAGAGTATATTGTTTAATTTCCACATATCTATGGATTTCCCTGTTTTGTTATTTCTGTTGATTTCTTATACCATCCTATTATAGCCAGAAAGCATACTGTGTGTGCTGTCAGTCCTTTGAGGCGTGTTTTGTGTCCTAACATGCAATCAGTGATGAAAACCGCACAGTATCTGTGCACTCTGAGATGAAGGTGTATTCCAGTGTTGTTCAGTGGAGTGTTTATAGATGTCTGTGCGCTCTAGTTGGTTTGTAAGGCTCTTGAAGTCTTCTGTTTCCTTTCGGTTGTTTTTCATACTTGCTCCACATTCCACATTCTGAAAGAGGAGCACCGAAGTCTCCAACTATTACGGGCGAACCGTCTCTTGCTTCCTTCAGTTCTTTCACTTTTTCTTTTCACATCTTTTGGAGCTCTGCTGTTCGTGTCATGTGTGTTTATAACCTGTTTTGGTAGCTTTTTGCTTGGAACTTGCTTGGAACTTTGAATATAAAGTTTGTCACCTGCAGACAACAGATGTTCTGTGTCCTGAGTGCCACGGGGTCCATTCTGACTCATAGCCACTCTGAGGGGTCCTCAGTCTGAACGTCTTTACAGAAGCAGACTGCCACATCTTTCTGTCATGGAGGGGCCGCCAGCACTCCTTAGACACCACATTGCTCAACATTTTTAAAAACCCAGTCTGACAATCTCTGTTTGTTTTTCCCCTTGTGTTGTTTAACCCTTCGCTTTGAGCATTATTATCAGTGTAATTGATTTACCTCCGCCATGGTACTGTTTCCGATGTGTGGATGTCTTTTGTGTTTCTCCATCCCTCCTTCACTGCATCCGTCTCCCTGCTGACCTGCTGACTGCTGGCTGACTGTGTGTTGACCGTCGTTCCTCTCCCCCATCGCCCTCCCCCTCCTCCCCCTGTCCCAGAGGAGCATCAGCAGACTTCATGATGCCATGCTGACATGGTGCTCAAGTGTTTGCTCTCGAAGAGTGGCCTTGGCATCAGGGACCTGCACTTACCCTGGCTGTCCTCCACCTGCCCTAAATGCTCACGTCCTCATCGAGCTGAGAAACATGCTTGTTCTGTGCTTTGATCCAAGGGTGGGGCAGGTATGAATTAAGTACCCCTTTAGGATCCTGGGCCTCCCAGGTGTCAGGGGGCACCTTGAGAGCCTCACCGGGGGTCTGGAGATAGGCAAGTCTCCCGAGGTCATGACCCCAGAACCCTGAAGGGGCTGTCCACATGGTACTTTCCAATTCCTATAGCTGTGTGTCCACTCGCCCCAGTGACCTGCCCCAAGAGGAGGCCGCTCCCTTGTATGACTCATGACGCCATTTCGTAGCGTTTGTAGGTTTCTGTGCAGCCAGGCGCTGTATTTACTAGTTTCTATGTGGACGCAGCCATGCAACTGAGGTGTGTGCTTGTGCACTGCATCCCCACTCACCATAAACCATGGCGAATCGAACAAATTGTGTAAAGAGTGTTTGTGGGGTTCGTTTCTGCAGAGAGTGGTGCCTCTGAGTGGAAGTGTCGCGTTGTCTCTGCTGCCTGTGACCTGTGTGTATGACATTCCAACCCAGTGTAGCCAGCAGAGAAACGATTTGATTTTTAGTGTATTGGAGATAAAAACAAATCCTTTTCCAATCTTTAAATATTAGGAGCTGTGCACGAAGGTGTGGCGCTCCTGTGGAATGTCAGCCGACCTGGGAGGCCAGAGTGACGTTCCTACTGGACATTGTGGGTGGGAACTTTGGACAAGCGCTGGGCTCTGTGGGCTCCCTGTCAGCCTTCCCCCCGTGAGCTGCAGCCTGCCCTGAACTGGCATTGGGCCTGAGGTCAGGTGGCCACAAGTTGTACCCTCTCAACTCCCAACTGTTCATTCTTACAGGAGCTTCGAAGTGGGTACTGGGGAACCCCTCGGGGAGGGAGGCGTTTCTCCTGCCTGCCCCCCCCCAACCCCGCAAGGACATTTGTGCCTGCATCTGGGGGTGGGACCACACCAGCTAGTTTTCAGGGAAGACAGGTGAGCAGGGGTGCCCTTGAGGAGTAACCCAGAACCAGGTGAAAGCTGCAAACCAGCCACTGGGCAGCAGATGGGAAGCAGGGGCCGGCTCAGACACGGGAGTGGGGTCCTGCTTTATTTTCTACAACAGAAATGTACTGTCACATGCTGAGGCAGGAGGGGCCCCCCGAGGCCTCAGAGACCAATAGCCTTTCAGCTCCAACCCCCCTCCCGACACACACACAGGAGACAAGGTGACTGGCTTCCTCCTAGCACAGCTTGTCATCCAGAAGGAGTCCAGAGCAGCCGCCACCACACATGTCCCCTGGTGGTGTCGCCTATCAGCTGGTGGGACCCTCCTTGTGTGTTTGAGTTTTGCTGGGAGCACTGTTCAGACACAACAAGTGGAAAACTTTGTTCAGTTAGTGGTTCTAACAAAAACGCACACATGTGCAAAGTGTTAGCACAAGTGTGTGTGTGTGTGTGTGTGTGGTGCATGTGTGAGAATTGTATGTGTGTGCATGTATGTATGTGTGTATGTGTGTGTATGTGCGAGTGCACATGTGTGCTCGTGTGAACATGTGTGTGTGTTTGTGTGTGCGCGTGTGTTCATGTGCATGTGCGCGTGTGTGAGAGGGATCCATTTGGACTGTACAGTCCTGGAGCAGGGCAGCTGCCCTGGTCTGGATCCCTCAGCATCTGCTTCTCTGCGGGTCTAGGGTATAGAGTGAGGGAGGGGGAAGCTCGCACATGATTTGTTTGTCTCTGTTTCTCGGCAGGGTCTCCTCTGGTGGTCTGTGTCATCTCCATGTCCTCAGCCATGGACAGTTATGGATCCAGTAACAAGTGAGTGCAAGTTCTCCCTTCACCGTGACCATCGCTGCAGCTCAGCTCCCCTGCCCAGGAGCCCTACAGGGTGGGGTGGGCCCCAGGGGCTGGTGGAGACAGGAGCAATCTCAGCCGTGCTGCTCTGGGCTCCCTCAGCCTTAGAACTGCTGTTGTTGTTGTTGTTGTTGTTGTTGTTAGGTGACGGTTAGTCGGTTTCAACTCATAATCTAGGAAGTCAGACCCCTCCAGGAATGTTGGGACAGATGGTAGATGTCTCTTACTGGATCTCCTTCACCCATGGTCTTCCAGAAGGTGGTGTCACCTACAGAGCCCAGTGTTGGCGCCCCACCACCTTTCTTGGGTGGCCAGCATGGAGTCTCTATAAGATGACAGTCACATGACTGCACGGTTGTACCAGTGAGTGTGGTCTTGGTGGGCCTTAGGTGCCTCACTGCTTGAGTAGGAGGTGGGACTTTATGTGGCCCTAGATCTGGGGCCACCATCTTGAAACTGCTGGTGGGTCCACACTTGAAGGGGAATGGGATGTGGGACCAGGTCAGAGCTTCAAGCTCTAGAAAGATTTTTTTCTGACAAGAAAAAGACGACTTCAAATGCTTTTGGAAAGCTATTCAGCCTTTTCTTCAAGCTGGGGCACCTCTGAACAAAAGCAGAAATGGAAACATCATTGAGCAGGAACGGGAAGAGAAGAACTAGACATTCCTCCAGCCTCAGGACGAGGTGTTCTTTCTACAGGATTGCTAAGATCAGAGAGCCCAGCCTCTTCTAGCTCAGGGAGACGATTACTGAAGATGGAGCATTGTCTGAGCACAAATGGAACCGAGAAAGATTGAAGGGCCCTTGTCCCAGCATTGTGGATGGTTTGAGACGCTGACGTGCTTCTCATGAGAGATCGCTCCTCTCAGATGGGCTCAGTGCAGTTTGTTCCGTTCCGTCCTCTTCTGGGTCTTGTGGACACATCTCCCCACAGCTCCTGTCTTGACACCAGTGGACTCCTCACGCGATTCCCCCATCACATCCAAGAGGGTCAGGGGGCTTGAGGGACTTCTGAGGAGCGGAGTCTGGAAATCTTCATCCTTGCACCCCTGAAGGGAAGCAGAACTTTCTCTGCAGCATCTGTCGACCTCTCAGCAAGCCAGAGCCTGAGCGCAGAGGAGCTGTGTGGAGTAGCCCCATAATTCTTCTTTAAGTGGGGTGTCCACAGATGAGGGTTCTCGCTCCTTGGTCTCTGGCTGGACGGCTGCACTGAATAGTGTCCTCGCCCCCCAATCCTGTATCCCTGGCATCTCAGGAAGTGACTGTATTGAAGCAGGTTCGCTGCAAGCTAGGCGAGGCCAGATTGGAGCAGAGCGGGCCCTAGTCCAACATGACCTATGACCGCGTAAGGCAAGGAGTAGAAATCGTTGGATTGGCGTATGTTTTGTTGTGCATATTTTTACCAAAGTACAAATTTGAAAATGATGCCATGAAAAAATAATAAACGAGAAGAGGTAGATACAGAGTGCAGACAGCCATGTGGAGGGGGGGGTGGGGGTGGGGAATGGAGAGACGCAGCCATGACCCAGGGACCCCAAGGACTGCCGGCACGTCCAGAAGGAGCTCCCTGCAGAGTCTTCGAGGAAGCGTGATTGTGTGACAACACCCAGTTCTAATTTGTGGTTAGACCCTCAGACGCTGATTTTCCCTTGGGGCCTGAGGCACCCAACTGCAAGATGGGGAGATTCTTCTCATGAATGAGGGCTTCTCAAGCGTGATGGGCTCAGGGCTCACAGACACAGAGGTGCAGTAGGGTCAGGGTCAAGGGCTCACAGACACAGGTCACAGATGTGGTGGCTCAGGGGTCACGGATGTGGCCCTGGTGTAGCCCCTGAGCCCAAACTCATAGCAGGGCACTGGGTGGACACTGACCAGCCTCTGCTTTCTTCACAGTTGCTGGCTGTCCCTGGGAAACGGCACCATCTGGGCTTTCGTGGCTCCGGCTCTGTTTGTGATTGTGGTACGTCACTGGCCCGTGTGGGCACATCTTGAGTGGGGGACATCAAGGTTCTGTTACGAGGAGTGCTATCCCCCACCCCCTCCTTGATTCAGGCCGGTCAGGTGAGGCAGGGTTTCTGTCGGACTAGAGGCTTGCCATGAACATGGAGAGAGGGGGGCCTTAATGCAATGCTTATCTCCCGACTCCCTGAGCAGAGGGTTTGCTGGGCTTTAACAAGTTTGGAGAACAGTTATTGTGTTTATTCATGGGGATATAGGTGGGGATTTCCAGGAAATGGCCCTTTTAGGAGCCATGCTAACTGGATACCTGTGCAGCACTTCTTCAAGATGGATTTCATCACCAAGGCCTTTGTCGGGGCAGACAAGACTTATTATGGGATACTGAGTATGTGTGGTTCTTCAGGACCCTGGTTCAAACCCCTCCTAGGGACTGGTGGCTCTTCTGCTCCAGCAGCAGTTTGTCCTTTAAAGTTAAGCCTGGGGCACTGAGCAAACCAGTCTGACCTATAAGCTATCTCACAAGGAAGTAAAACTACAGAACTGTTATGGGCAGTGTTCCTTAATGGTACGTCCCAGATGTGCTCTGCCTTTGTCCTCTGCATCTTTACACTTGCCCAAGCAAAGAGGGGAGCCGGCTTCAGCATGTCTCAGGACTTGGGTCACAAGATTTCCCTTTGACCTGATTTCTGGGCCCCCTTTCCCTGTCACTGCCCCCTACCCTGGATGCCCAGTGCAGGCTTAGTGCAGACTGCCTGAAAACTGCAGCAGGTGCACGGCTCTGTGGGGCTGGGGGCCTGGTGGGGTCTGTTCCTTCCCCTCCTGCCCCTGATTGTTGCTCAAAGAGCCCTGGAATTCTGGAACCAGGTGTACTCAGCCGACAGGCTCTTCTGCTTTGGGGAGACAGCGTACGGACTGTTACGTCCCTGGTGGGCACAAATGGTTGATGCCCGGTCGCTAACTGAAAAGGTTGGAAGTTTGAACCCCCCCAGCTGTGCTACAGAAGAGATGCCCTTCTAAAGATTGTTATTGTTGTTGTTAAGTGCCGTGGAGTCTGGTCCAACTCATGCGACCCTGTATAAGGTTTCCAAAGAGCAGCTGGTGAGTTTGAACCACTGATCTTGCAGCTCAACCAGACTTTGTGGTCCGGTGCTTATCCTACAGCACCACACCAGGACTCGCTCCCAAAGATGGCAGCCAAGAAAGTCGTGTGGAGTAGGTCTGCTTTGTCACAGCTGGCCTCTTCTGTCCTGACCACTGTGTGTTCTCAGTGTCTTCTGACCTGGGGCTCATCTCTCAGCACTCTATGGGACAGTGTTCTGTTCTGACCACTGTGTGTTCTGAGTGTCTTCTAACCTAGGGGTCATCTCCCAGCATTCTTTGGGACAATGTTCTGTCTGACCACTGTGTGTTCTAACCTGGGGCTCATCTCCCAGCACTCTATGGGACAGTGTTCTGTCTTCTCAGTGTCTTCTGACCTGGGGCTCATCTCCCAGCACTCTATGGGACAGTGTTCTGTCCTGACCACTGTGTATTCTGAGTGTCTTCTAACCTGGGGCTCATCTCCCAGC